CAAATGCCTGAGAGGAACTTTGCTTCATGGAATGCAATGATAAGTGGATTTGTCGATTGTGGTAGGATCGAATCCGCGAGAGGCTACTTTGATAAAATGCCTCAAAAGAACAATATCTCATGGATGGCAATGATCTCCGGGTACTCTAAATGTGGAGATGTCGAGTCTGCCAATGTGCTTTTCAGTAAGCTTCCCAAGAAAGATCTTTTATCATTCAATGCCATGATTTCATGCCTTGTTAAGAACAGCAAACCAAAGGAAGCCCTTCAGTTGTTTGACCAAATGCTTAAACATCACGTGGATATCCAGCCAGATAAGTTGACTTTGGTAAGTGTTATCTCTGCTTGCTCCCAGTTAGGTGACTTGAGATTCGGATCATGGATTGAATCATACATGAAAAGTATCAAAGTTGAAAGAGATGATCATTTGTGTACTGCACTAATTGATCTATATGCCAAGTGTGGCAACGTTCAGAAAGCAAGTGAACTGTTCAATAGCCTTGAGAAGAAAGATGTGGTCGCTTACAGTGCAATGATATTAGGGTTTGGAATAAACAGCAAGATTGATGAAGCCACTAAGTTGTTCAAATCAATGGTAGATGCTCGTATCCCCCCAAACTCAGCCACATTCACGGGACTCTTGACTGCTTATTGCCATGCTGGTTTGGTTGAAGAAGGCTACAAATGCTTTGCCATGATGAAGGACCACAAACTCACACCTTCAACCGATCATTATGCAACCATGGTCGATCTTTTGGCCAGAGCAGGAAGGCTAAAGGAGGCATATGAGATGATTACAAGCATGCCAATGCAGCCTCACGCCGGTGTGTGGGGAGCTTTGCTTCTTGCTTGCAAGGTGCATAACAATGCACAATTGGGAGAGATAGCTGCTAAACATTGCCTTGAGTTGGAGCCTGAGACAACTGCGTATTACTCTCTTCTCGCTGACATATATGCCTCAGTTGGGAAGTGGGGTGAAGCTAGAAATCTGAGAAAAGTCATCAAAGAGAAGAAGATGAGGAATTTGCCTGGGAGCAGTTGGATGGAATCAACCACATAAAATGTGCTACTTTTGTAACTGATTATATCTGTGCATTGCGATTTGATGGATAGTACAGAAAATATAGGATGAAGGTTTCCTGGACGACTTGAAATAGAATCGATTCTCTGACAAGGGATGTTGTCTTTCAGACTTCTACTTCTCAAGGCTAGCTTGAAGAGGGATCAGAAGACTTGTACTGTGTTGACATCCAATGTATCAATGTATCCCCAAGACAAATGGATTTGAATTCCAAAATTCTGTGTGTTTCCCTCTTCTTATTTGTGGACTAGAATGAATACCGGCGGCTATGCCTCGAGATCTAAATTTGCAGCAGCATGTTCATATGGCGGGCTGTTCAGTTGATGCCAAACTGGGTTCGTTATATTATTGTCAAGTGGTCTGGGTTTTAGAATATTGGAAGTTTGGTTGGCGCCCTACAACAAGTAATTATTATGATTAAATAGAAGTTCAGTGTATAGTAGAAACATAGGGGAGTTATCATAAACTGTCACAAACCTTTGGACTTAGTACAAAACGGTCACAATTGTTTAATTTGTAACAATACGGTAACAAAAGTTTGAACTTGTACGAAATGGTCACTTCTGTTAATCTCCATCCAAATTTCTGTTAGATCTATCTAGTCAGCATTCCACCTCATCAAAATAATTAATAAACAATTTCAATTTAACATTTGAAACCAACTTAAACTCAAACCCATAAAAAAATTGGCCAAAACCGAGCAAACCCTATCTCACCCTGCGGCATCTTCTTCGAACCCCCTCGCAGTCGGCATTCATCCCGCCGCCTCATCCTTCGACGCAACAACAATGGCCATCCCTTCACCACTCACAGCAACAACAAAATCCTCAACCCTATCCTCATCCTCACGCGCCACCAAATCCTCACCTTTTCTCCTCTCACTTACCTCCACCAACCCTTCCATATTGATGGTCCTCACGCTTTAGCTCCAACTCCATCTGATCCCGAGCTTAATAAGCAAATTGACAAGCTAGTTGGAGGGGCCATGATTTGAGGCAAGCAGCAAGATAATCCTGCTTGTAGCTTTCTATTTGGTGAGGAGGGGTAGAACCAAATCACGAAATCAACCAGGAAAATTGGAGCAGATGAATGGAGGGAGGGGATTTCGCAAATCGGAGAAAGAACGAGCCATTGAAAGAGAACCCCCCAATGGAGTGGTGATATAAGGTTTAACCGATTTTGACCAATTTTTTTATGGGTTTGAGTTTAGGTTGGTTTCAAATGTTAAATTGGAGTTGTTTATTAATTATTTTGATGAGGGGAATGTTGACTAGATAGATCTAACAGAAATTTGGATGGAGATTAACAGAAGTGATCATTTTGTACGAGTTCAAACTTTTGTTACCGTATCGTTACAAATTAAAGAATTGTGACCGTTTTGTACTAAATGCAAAGATTTGTGACCGTTTATGATAACTACCCTAGAAACATAGGTTTCTATCATTGATGAACAAAATGCCTATCTACTTGGGGTTGCTGAATTTCTTTCCGACTGCAGTCTCTGTTTCTGTAGGATAGTAACGCTAATATGTATGGGGTTTTGGGAGAAACACATTTCAAGTGCTACATTGAAGTACTTGATCATTATCCTGGGAGAAGTATGAGGATTGTGATATATTGGAGACTGGGACACATGATGAAGCTAATGTTGCACTTGCAGACAGCTTAGTTCAAGCCTCCATCTACTTGCTCAATGGTTTTTGCATCCCGTCTGTTCGTTCTTGTAATCTTGTCTACTAATTAGCCGCTTCAGCTGCCACTTGTCTCAGTCATGTCAGCTGAACTTTTGTGATATAATGATGCAGCCATGCTCAAAGCATCAAAGATTCTTAGCAGAGAGATATTGTATGTATAACTGTATATTCTATAACAATATCTCTCTATATAATTATTTATGCAGAGAGATACTTTAGTCCTTGGCGGGATCGATTCAATCCGAGGAAATTCTTCCTTTATGCTTTCTCGTTCTGATATTTGAATTCTTTATCATCTTGAATCGTTGGGACTTGGGAGTACCACTTTTCTTGTGAAGTAAGGTATGAGCAGGTTCAGGAGAACTCATGCCATGAGCATTAGATAGGTGTCTTCCCACATAAACAAATTCTTATTGGTCGAATCAAATTCTCTCATAAAAACTATGAATTAAAAACTTCATTAGACAGCTTTGAGTTACCTGCTGCTGGTTATTTTCAACTTTCACGGCTTTAAAAGAAATTACTTATTGGTGCTTAATTAACATCGTCGATGTATCACTTGATCGATTTAACCATAACTTGTATTATAATTCTGCCAAGTAGTGTCAAAAGATTTCGACCGTAAATAAATTGTGTATAAAGATGTGACTTCCTCATCGCTGATAATCACCCCAACAAAATTATATTTAGATTTTTTTCATAATGAAAATTATATTTAGATTTTGATCTTGATCTTTACGAAAATTCTACAAGTTATAGACTGGGGGTACAAATAGAGTCAAAATTCATTTTTGCTCCACTATAAAATGAGAGAATATATACTTTCATTTTCATCTCAATAGCACTGTTTATTGTATAATCATACTTGTCAAATAGTCATAAATTCTGGCGAACAAGTGTGGCCTAGTGGTAACTGGTAATATCACTAATTTTGAACCATGGGATCCAAGGTTCGAATTTTTATCAGTAACACCTAATTATAAAAAACTACATATATCACCCTTATATAAAAAAAAATAGAAATAGAAATGATAACAGTTCATATTCACTCTTGGTTTCTCAGTTGGGTATGGCAGAGTATCTGAGTATGGACGAAGGACGATGGAAGTGTGGTGCTCTCTTTGGGAGTTTTGACAGTTCAAACTTGAAACCATTTGGCTACATGCTACTGCACAAAACAAAACAACCCAACTTAATGGGCCGTATGCTGTCTAAGGACGGAAAGCCGCATTTAGATATTTGGGCGAGCAGTACCAGCTACTGGGCCTACAAAGGCCCAGTTATCGGTCCAAGTTCCAAAGTTCAAACGTCATCACACCTTAAAATAGTGTTCAAGTCACGACTCACTAGTCACTAGAGGTCTTCAAATCAAGCACACCAATCTGTAAAAAAAGGTACATAATGGTTGATTGGCCGTAGTGTTGGTTTTCAGGTTGAAGTCTCTAGGTTCAAATTTTAGGAACGACACTATGGATCTCAAACCAATAACCATTGATTTTCAGCCTGAAGTCCCTAGGATGGACGACATTGCTTTGCAGGGCTCGAACCGACGAGATTAATATTACATGTTAAGCAGACCAGTTCTGATTGTATATACGGTACGTTGTATTTGTAGTGAATGATTAATTGATTATGACATGAGCATAATGAATAGTTTAGTTATATTAATGCTATTCATTAGTCAATAATCTCATGTAGATATACATTAGACGCATATATTGATGTAAAGTATTGTTGGTGTTTAGAAAATTCTATTTATATTAAAAAAATATTAAAAAAAAACTTAATAGAATAGGTATGATAATGATTGAAAATGATGTCATTGGAGAGTACAAAAATTAGAAAGATAGTAGATGGTTTTATTTTCTTAACAATGTTAGAAAGCCGTTACATTTCAAATAAGGATAATATAATCATTCTAATTTTATTACACTTAATCAGGCCACATTTTAATTTTGAAACAGAGCCTCGATGACGGTGACGCCCTTCATCTAAATGAATCCCATTCCCCATTCATTGTTAAAATGTGACCCATTGGAGATCTCCCCACCAAACGGTCTACTCCAATTTGAAGCCTCCATTTCGGTCTTCCCCACCATTTACTCCATCTTGCAGCTGAATTCCCACGCAACAAAAAATAATCGAAAAGCAATGTTAGAAGAGTTATCATAACAACATCATCATAGATATATGTTCATTCCAGAGATGGAGATGCTTTGATGGTACCTTCTTTAGGGCCTTCTTTTGATATCGGTAACCCTGAAGAAGAAGGAGGAGGAAAAAGAAAACGTAGCCAAAATGATAAGAAAACGTGAAAATATTGGTAATGCTCAAATCTTGTTCCGGTTTGGTTGCTAGTCACCTTGTCAGTTCCATAAATGTAATCACAGTAAGTGAACACCGACGCGAAGTTGCTCTGGCTTTGGCCCCCAACATAGTGATGGTAGTCATGGTACTCTGCGCCACCATAGAATGGTATGCATTTCGTCACACTCCATGGGAAATCATATCTGCAGCACCACAGATCAGAACCAAATCATGTGCCGATGTGCGTAACTATGGCCTTCATGAACTGATAGAAAGCAGAGGAAAGGTGGAATGCAATGCATACCCACTGTGCGTTTCTAAGGCCTCCATCTGCCGCAAAACAAACCAGAGCCAGAAAGTGACCACGTGACCAGGAACCATTGCCGGCCCCAGAAAAGATGCGATCCCTAGGATCAAGATTTCAGCCCAGTGAAGATATGGTGCGGCAAATGCAATTGGGGATGTGTAGTGGTGATGAACCTTGTGGATTTTCTCGTAACCCCATTTGCAATGAAGGAATCTGTGCATCCAGTAAGTGGTATAATCCTCAACCACGAAGTAAACCAACAGCTGGGCAGCGATTTCCCCAACTGATGGCAATGGCAGCCCTGTATGTATCCCAACAGCCTGGGTGCAAACAAATGAAACAAAACAAAAACCCAGAAACACCAACAATCGGGAAAAGAACCCAATCAACAATTTCCTCTCCTTTTTCTTTATACCTTGACGGAAGGGTAAGAGACGAGCTGCAGCGGACCGACGACGAATAAGAGGTTGAGCATGACGTCCTTGTAGCAGTTGAAGATTTCGGCGGCGGGCGTCTGGATTTTGGGCTGAATTTTGTGTTTCTCGAAGAAAGGGGATCGGAGCAGCTGGATGAAGACGAAGGGGAGCGGAACCACAGAGAAGATTAGGCAGACGAAGAGAATGTTGTGGCAGGCGAGGACGCCATCGGACTTTTCGGCGGAGTAATTGAACCACAGTGTCTCGGCGTAGGTCAGGTTGCGGCCCAATTGGGCCGCCGCCGCCTCGATGGACTTGTATGGCAGCATTGTTTAGTGTGTGGACGACGGCGAACTGGGTAAATTCGGTGCGGAAGTAGTTGTGGGAAAAGGAATTCGGGTAAGATTATTCGATTCGATGGAACTCTGGTTGTGACTAACTTTGGCGAATTATGTATGCATAGAACTAGAAGGACGGCTGAGCTTTTAGGGTTGGGCATCTAGCCAGAAAAAAAGGAAAAAGAATGAGGTACAAGAAATCGTTCAAGCACCATTGCCCGTGGATCTCCTTCGTTTTGTGTGTAGCTGTGACAGACCTCTGGAGTGAACGTGTTTCGTTTGCGTGGGAAGTTCGGTTCGTGATAGTTAGAAAGCACTCAACTCAAGTAGCTAGAGTGGCGGCAACTCTGATCAACTCAACACCATTCCAAATTCGCTGCTCAGGGAGGCTTTTGCTGACGGGTGTGCTATGTGTGGCAACGTTCAGAAAGCAAATGAACTGCAAGGTTGATGAAGCCACTGAGTTGTTCAAATTCATGGTAGATGCTCGTATTCCCCCAAATTCAGCCACATTCACAGGACTCTAGACTGCATATTCCATGCTGGTTTGGTTGAAGAAGGCTGCAATTGCTTTGCCGTGATGAAGGACCACAAACTCACACCGTCGCCGATCATTAAGCAACCATGGCCGATCTGTATAATTATCCAATGATAAGTAGTGATGAATGAGAAGCAGAAGTGGTGCTTCCATGTTATTATATGCAGATAATGTGGGATGCCAACTGCCATGCATTTCTGAATCTTCATTTCGTACTGTTGCAGAGGCTTGATTACTAAGCAATGTGACCAAGCGTTGGGCAGTCCTTTGGTCTTGTGAAGCAAAAATTGGACAGATGAATAGCTGCTTTTTGCAAGATAATGAGGGCTGGTGAAAGTAGCTCTCACTAATTGTGATGGTGATAAATAAAAGCATGATAGTAAGTATACACACCGACACTTTTGAATGCTCTAATCCCAAATGTGATTGGGATATCATTGTGATAATAAAAGCATGGTAGTAACTAGTAGGGCTAATACCACTGGGAAACCCGAACTATTAACTTTGTGTCATTTGTGTCCTAAAGTATTCGATATGACAATTGTGTCCCAACGTTTGGTAGTTTTGTGTCATTTACGTCCTAACAATTTTGTTGACCGTTATAGATAACGGTTGACCAAACGGTCAACCATAAAATGTTGACTGCTGATTACATGGCACATATGTGGCAGCCACGTATACACCACATCAGCTGCCACATCAGCTCATTAACACATAATATTTTTAAATTATTTTTTAATGAAAAATAATAAAATTAAAAATTCTATTTTTTTAACCCCTACCGTCGGTCGCCGCAACCACCCAACCGAACCAAAACCAGATTCAGTTCCCTTCCGACCCTAAAGCTCCAAAGCTGAATCGCGTCGTCTTCCCCAAACTTCACTTCCTCCACCACGCTGTTCCACTGCGACGTCAGAACGTAGTTCCCCCTGCCGACGACCGTGCCCCACTGCTCCGCCGCCTCCTCCGCCGTCAAGAACTCTTCCCCCACCGCCCCGCGCGGGATCGACAGCCGCGCTTGGCTCTGGTCTAGGTCGCTCCTCGACAGACACTTCTGGATCACAGACTCCAATCGACATCTTCTCCGGATTTTCAGCACCAGCTCCGCAAAGGATACTTGGTCCGGCGACTTGGACGAGGAGAGACAAATATCGAACGGCGAATAATCCAGCTCCGGCAACCACCACTTCAATTCGGCCCTACAAATCCAGGTCATCTCCGTCGCCTTCAAATTCAGATAAAAATTCCAATCGAACTCCTCCAATCTCGGCTCCGTCGCCTTTAGATTCAATTCAAAATTCCAATCGAATTCCTCCAATCCCTAAATCACCCATCGTGCTTAAGATTTCCATTGCGGATTCGCGAAAAGGATGCCGCCCCCCATGCCATTCTTCTTGCTCTCCCTCATCCGCCGTCGATGGTGAAAAGGATGCCGCCAATAGTGACTCCATCAGGTAAGTCGCCACTCCCCCATGCCATTCTTCTTGAATTTGTTTATATGAGTTGGGATTCAGATAAGAAAGAAACCCTGAAATTTTTAGGGATTTCGATTATTTTGTTGGCCATTTGGGTTTCTGATTTCGTTGTGGGTTGGGGTTTCTGATTTCGTTGTGGTATTGAGATCTGGGTTGGGTTTCTTGATTTGGGTTTGGGAGTTTGTAGTTCAAGAGGGCAACGAGCAGAGGAGAGAAGACGAAGAAGCAGCGGGAGGAGTTCCGGCGGCGAAGACTACGGAGGAGAGATAAAAGAGTTATTTATTTTGTATTTTTATATTTAATTTTTTGTATTTTGTAATTTTCGTTTTGTTAGTATATTATTTTTTATAATAAAATAAATCAATAATAAATAATAATATTCCACGTCGGATGCCACATCAGCGCTGACTAGATTTTCAGTTAAAAACTAACGGTCAACGCCAGTCAACTCTAACGGACAAATAGTTTAGGACACAAATGTCATATCGATTACTTTAGGACACAAATGACACAAAGTTAATAGTTCGGGTTTTCTAGTGGTATTAACCCTAACTAGTAAGTATGAAGGACACATTGTTAAAAAAAAAGTATGAAGGACACTGATGAATGTGCTCTATTGTACAAATTTAGTCGAAAAATAAATAAGAACGAAAACATTTAACATTGTATGAAATCAATAATTGATATCATACTTAGAACTTATGTGACCGAATAATTAAGAACACTAAGGGGTCGTTTGCTTGTTGGATTTGTAAAATGAGGGTTTTGGCTCAAAAAAACCTTTGGATTTATGAGGGATTTGTACCATCATGGATTTGAAGAGTCTATTGTTTGCATGATAGATTTGATGATATAATTATGATGAATTTGCTATAAATATAACTAGTCATCAAGGATTTACAAATCTCACCCCAATATGTGGGATTTACAAGTTAGTGGGGTCCACATATTTGGATCCAAAAAGGGGGAACAAATCCGTGGACCCACGGATTTAACACCTGACAACAAACAATAGACTTGGCTAAAATCCATCATGCTTGGGATTTGAGTCCCAAATCCATGACCCAAATCCATCAAGCAAACGACCCCTAAGAGTCGTCCTAACAGAATCATGTCAACATACTAGCCCAACAGGGGCGGGCCCAGATGAGAGCAAGTTGTGTCGGCGAACACACTTTCGCTTGAGAATTTTGTGAGAGATTCCAAGTTTAATTTTCAGCATAAGCGATGAATTTATTTTACAAATCTTTCAGGGTATGAAAAACTGTCGTGGTTCATTGTGAAAAAAATGATGTTGTGATTTTTTTTTATGAATTATTTATTTGTTTATTATCTTATTTTAGCGGTATTAAAAATCTTGGGTGTGCAATTGTAGCCTAATTCTCCATTGAAATATGTATAGGAGTTAAATTATCATTAGGGTTGCAAATGAGCACAACTACTTGTGAGCGCCTCTACATTTGGATTGGGAACAACTCGTTTCAATCTCGACTCGTTTACTAACGAGTCGAGTTTGAGCTAAGATTTGTTCAACTCGGGAAGCTTCCGAGCTAGCTCGACTCGGTGACTTGTTGAGCTCAACTCATGAGTCGGCTCGTTCAGAGCTCATGAGATATCTTAGCATTGTGGCTATAGAGCCAACTTGATCACCGACTTATGAGCGAATTGATCTATATCTTAGGAGTTGGATTTTGATAATTCATGAGATTTTTAAATTAGATATCTCGTGCTATATGAAGTTTAACATTTTGAGCATGTAAGAAAATATGTCTTATTTTTAATTTTAAAAAAGAAATTATGTATCATAAATTACTTCGATGCTATGAAATAACATGATTTGAACTATTTAAAATTTATTATCTAACTAATTGTATACCAACAAATTATAATACAAGATTAGTAATGTTAAACATTTGATTATTTGTATTTTTTCATCATAACATTGATCACATGTAGAATACATGATATATAAAATGAATGTATTAAATATGAACTAAGATTTTAATAAACAAGTTTAGCTCGTTCTCGACTCGTTAATTAACAAGTTGAGCTCAACCTAAAGTAAAACTCGGCTAGCGCTAATTGATGGTATCTTTATCCAACAAAGATCAAATAGAAGTTTTAAACAGAGGAATGGGAAAATCAACCTCTTTGTGGAGTGTGGACGAAACAAGCACCGGGAATCCCAGAGGAAGGGTGGCTTTTTAATTAAGCGAAAAGTATTGGACGGCGTCTCCCGAGCGTGTCGACGAGCAGTTGCACAAAAGTTAAAGCAGACTCCAAAATTCCCCACAAACCACACGATTTCACCCCATTTATTATTCTTACCTTCTCCCCCTTTCTCTCGCTTTGTCGTGCCTCCAACTCCAACTACCTTCCCTCGATCTCCACCACAATCCGACAACCCCCCATATGCCGGAAAGAAACCCCCGCCGACGTCACCCCGGATCCGGCGGCGGAAGCAGTCGGAAGACAAAGCCTCCACACCCTTCTCCTTCCCCGAGAGCGACCCGCTGCCGAAAGGCTTCTCCTTCCCCCGCAGCTCCGCCCAATCGCAATCGCCCATTATCCAGGATCAGAAACTACCACTCCGGCAGGACTTCCAGGGTACTGAAGCGATGCGCCTCCGAACCCATACTCCGGAGCAACCCCACCGGCGATCAAGAGGAAGAAGGACCCAGTGATGGCGATCCTCTACTCCATGATCGCCCAAGTCATAGTAGTAGCTTCACCTGCTTGGAAAACTACTGTTGGCCCGAGGGCGTCGCGGCGATCCACCGGCCTCGGACTTGGACCGACGTATTCTCTTCGTCTCCGTCTCGTCTGGGCTCGGGATCATCTCCTCGGCCGAGCTTCGATGTAAGTCGGACTAATCCACCCTTTTGTTTATTTTCAAGTCTCGATGCTGGAAGGCATAAATTTGGTTGGGGCATTTTACCAAACAGTTGGAAGGCGTGAAATTCTTTTGACTTTCATTTACCCCTGCGGCAGGTGTACTCGAGAGATGCGAAGGTAGTGCTGAACGTGACGGTGGAAGGGAGCCCAGGTCCGGTGAGAACGATGGTGAAACTGGGCTCCACCGTCGAAGAGACGATCGGTCTCGTGGTAGATAAATATTCCGAAGAGGGAAGAACCCCCAGGCTTGGAAGAGATGCCGAGCCCTCGTACGAATTGCACCACTCCCACTTCAGCCTTCAGTGTAAGCAAATCAAATTCATGCGCCATATGGCCGCAAGTTATTCCCCGATCAGGCGATCATAAATTTAGGCGGATTGTGTCCCCTGTTTTCTAGTCCTCAGTTTTCTTTCCATTTTTCAAATTCCCAATTTTGAATTGCAGGTTTGGAGAGATCGGAATTGATCGGGGAAGTAGGGAGCAGGAATTTTTATATGAGGAAGAGCGGCAGTAGTCGGAGGAAGAGCAGGAGCGGCAGCCTGTTGGGTTCTTCGCCGGCTACGGTGGAACGGAACTCGCCGCCGCCTAAGGGGATTCCGCCGGCGATTGTGCTGTTCCAAGGTTTCTTCGCCAGGAAGTTCAGTAAAATTGTGAGAAGAACGCGTCGGGTATGGAATATGGTGGTGTGCTTGCCGTGATCGATCGATCGATCGACCTCCCATCCCACGATTTCGCTGTTAGAGAGAGCCCCAGTAGCTTTTTTATTACTGGCAGTGGCAGATAGGTAGGATGACAACAAAACCCGAACCCACGGGTACCCATTCGATTCAATTCTATCAATGCGGATAAAATTCGTGTTGACGGGTTTTTGGCCGGGTTTGGGTTTAAACCCATGCAACTTTACTTTTTTAACCTCTTTGCGATATTGTGTGGAATACACAAAACAAATTGTAGTCTGCCTAGTAAATATGAAATATCAATTATGACAAATTGACAATTGACACGCACCATAAATATACAAGATATTGGATTGATGGTATTTGTAGTGTATGTAGTTTAGGCGTAAGCAATAAGAGGATTGTTTGTCTCAGGTAAATGTCACATTTGATTAGTGAGATTACTAAATTCTATCACATTTAGTCATTAAAAAAATTAATATCAATTTTGGTCACTTGACTTACTGAAATAGGTCATATTTAGTCATTCTTCGTTTGTCTCAGTCCAACTCCGTTAATAAAGTCTGTTATGTGCTAACGTGGCTAACGGGAGCGCCTAATCAGCACCGTGTTGGGTCGAAAATGGTCAAACCCGACCCGCCATGTCACTAAAACTGTCATGTCATACACCCAACCCAAACCTAAACTATCTGAGATCTATGCGGAGCTTCGTGAAATTGATGATTCGATGAATTGAGTCTGCGGGCTGGAACATGGACGTCGCCGCTAGGGCGGTGGAGCCGGTGAAAGTGGGAATTTCATCGAAGTCGCCGACAGCGGCGCAGCAATACCGCTGCTTCATTTTCAAGTCGTTCGTGGAGAAGACGATGTTCAAAGACTGAAATCACCCAATTTCACCGTTCCGGTTGCGTCCCCACCGCCCAATTTCACGGTTCCGGACGAATCTCTTACTATCCACTGATGCAGGTCGCCGTTTGGTATAGATGAATTTCATGAGTTTTGAGAAATTCATTTTGAAATGAAACATTTTTATGTTTGGTATTTAAAAAAATTCATTTCCAATTCTAAATTTTGAATTCTATGGAATTGGTACTAGTTATAGCAATTCCGAGGAATTGAGATGGAATTTCCAAATGAATTCCACAACAATTTATTAATTATAATAGAATAACATAATTATCCTCTTTATTAACTAAATTACTTACATATATGACATACCAAACATAGAAATTCATTTGACAATTCATTTTATTATTAAAAATTTGAATATGACATACTAAACACAAGATTTCATTTGACAATGAATTCCACGATAATTCATTTTACAATGAAATGAATTCTTGATTCATTTGGTAAAAAATGATAAGGCTTATTTGGTGTGATATAAGTCTTGGGTTTTCAGTCTTAAGACATTAAAACCAACTTAGTTTATTGCAACTGGATCTCTGGGAATTGGGCTAAAATTGTTCTAAGCCCAATCTTATCCTAGAAACATACAGATGGTCTCCGACTCTCCGTTGTCTTCCTCTTCGTTTCCTCTGCTTCCCTTGTTTGAAATTCTGTCTAATCCCTAGAATCAGTCAAACCCCAATTTTAGATGGGAGCTGAATTGTTCTATCCTCCAAACCAAACCAGGTACATAGAACAATCTTAATGGCGTTACAGCCGGCTGGCTCCCCAAGATTCGACACTTCCATCCTAGGTTCTCTGCAGGTCGAACTGTGTCATGATTTTTTTTATTTCTTTATAGATGAACTATGAATTTTCAGGCTGAGGAACTCATGGAAGCAAGTCCTCTGCTCTACTTAGAATTGCTGAAAGCAACCTCGAGAGGTGATTGGGAAACTGCAGAGAGGATTTTCAATGGCGATCCTTCAGCACGAACAGCTAGAATCAACGCTCAGCAAGACACTCCTCTACATGTTGCAGTGTTCAATAACAGCCCCCAATATCTGGGTTTCGTGCGAAGATTGGTGGAAGATGTAGTACCGGAAGATGCACTGGGACTGACGAATGCACTTGGTGACTCTGCCCTGCACAGTGCAGCCATTGTCGGGAACACCGGGGCCGCAAAGCTTTTAGCCTCAAAGGCGCCAAGATTGTTGCAGCTACGGAATGATAGATTGGACGACCTCCCGATTCATTCCGCGGCCAGGTACTGCCACGCGGACATCGTCCGTTACCTGTTATCAGTTATGGCCAATGACACTTCATTTAGCGGCCAAGATGGTGTCAAACTCGTTAATCTCCTCATATATAGTGATCTCTATGGTACGATCTCTATCTCTCTCTTCACTGCATTCGATCAATGGAGAATCTAAGAGTAGACCATTGTTTGCATGATGATCATATCATATCATATATATAGGACTTGCTGTTGATGCGCTGAGGATGTTCCCTAGGTTTGCTAGGGAGCAAGAATTGCATCGTGGTCATGGCGAAACTGCTATACTCGCATTGGCGGGAAGGTCCCAAGCTTTTCTTAGTCGGCAGAATATGATTGGACCTGCTGGTCTGGTAGGTTCTTTGCTGCATCAAATGAGGCGAACGTTTTACTATAATGTTTATCTCCTGCCTGTTACTGGAAGTAGTCTCATGAGTAGTGATGGAGATGACGCTATGGAGCTGCTGACATTGTTGATCTCTGAAGCCTTGAAGGCAGGCACAGCAGCTGAAGTTGAGAGCCTACTGAAGCCTCCAATGCTGCTTGCTGCTGAATCCGGGGTTTACGAGGTGGTGATAGAGATTATCAAGGCGTATCCGGTTTCAACCTGTTTTGTGGACTCGCGTGGCCGTACAGTCTTCCACCTGGGGGTACTTTATCGTCGGGCGAAGGTCTTCAACATCTTCTATCAATTGACCACAGCGAGCAAGAACTTGGTTGCAGCCTTGGTTGACGATCGTGGCAATAACTTACTGCACTTGGCTGGGATGTATGGGGAAGACCAGGTTGCCGAGCATGATCTCGGAGTCTACCGTGAACTACAATGGTTCTATGTACGTACGTAACAATTAACAACAATGAAGCGTTAGTTAATGTTTGTTCCAATTTGGTTTTACTCGTAGTGACACCCTAGCTAGCACGATCGATTCAAAACTATAAATGATGATGTTAGGGTTTGGTTTTGCAGGAAGTAGCAAAGGTGGTTCCGCGATCATATCGAGAAATGATCAATGACGACCGGATGACCCCGGGAGAGCTTTTCGACGAGCAGCAGCGTCAGCGAATGGAGAAGGGACAAAGACGGATGCAGGACACAGCTGGATCGTTTTCGTTTGTGGCTGCACTTGTGGTGACAGTATCTTTCGCGGCGGTTTTCACCTTCCCTGGAGGAGCGAACGACAATGGGATCCCGCATTACATCAACAAGCCGTCTTTCATGGTGTTCATGGTGGCGAACGCTCTGGCATTCTTCTCTTCGTCCACTTCGCTGCTCATGGTGCTGTCTTTCATGTCCTCCAAGTATTCGGCCCATCATTATCCGAGCTCGGTCATGGAGAGCTGCCTTTTGACTCTCGCCTTATCAATAGCGGCCATGTTGGTTGCCTTCGCTGCATCGCTGCACATTGTTCTCTACCAGAAGGTGAGCTGGATTATGGCTCCGATTGGGGTTGTGGCCTTCGTGCCTGCAAGTATGATTTTGTTTTGGTTGGTTCCTCCACTGCTCAGCGGGCTCATCTCAGCATACGGACCTAACGTCCTTGGGACACGGCATAGTGATGAAGTTATTGCATGATGATATTAATTAGTGATGACGTTATTGCATCATGATTACCCTAAAGGTAAGCCCATTTTATAATAGCTAGATGACCGATGTAGACGGAACAATGAACCTTGTATGTAGTTAATCTCAGTGGTGAAGGAAGAGCAAGAATCATCTTTGAGGATCCACCAGCCGCCCTAGACCCAAATCAGGCTCTGATACCACTTGTCATAATCCGGGAGCTCAATTAGTATGATATTGTCTGCTTTGGGTAAAGCCCGCACGGTTTTACTTTTGGGTGACCTCTTCAAAAGGCCTCATACCAATGGGCTTGGTGGACACTGATATACAAGGGTTTCTTCCCTTGTATTACCGACTTGGTACTTGGATTGTCCCACAATAGTTACATTGCAACCATGATCTAGCAAGTCCAGTTTTCGCACTTTAGGACTTGTCTAAGGTTCCGTTTAACTCCTTTTTCTCGATTTGTGTAGAAAGAGTGCATTATGTGGTGTCGGAAGCTCTACTCATGCTATTTAAGTATACTTCTTAAACGAAACTTCACTCTGCATGGAATTTACTCAATAAGTAACAATGTACAAACGAGAACTGATGCTTAGTTGAACCTTTCTGATTTCTCTCTGTGCAATGCGTGATTGGCTCACACGTTAGCATACTTTTACCCCACAAATTATTTATAAAGACAACTTTACTTTATTCAGCCTGTCAGGTAGGATTTTTGAATGTATATAAAGATATTGTTCAACCCAGCCAATAGAACCTTTAAAGCGGCGAGACTCGTAGGAAGAGTTTAAGAACTCACGAAGGAAAGTGATAAGCAATGTATTCAGAACTTTCAAATGGTAATTTAGTCTCATGATGCTAGCATCCTTCATAGCCACAATAATAGTATCCCTAAACCACATTGCAGTGCAAAGACTTGCAATTCAAAGTAAAATGAGCTTTGAAATTGCTTTGAGGAGTGTGGCATATTAAAAATGTTCGAACAAACAATACAAGGTCAGTTTGGAAGTTGCGACAATTAAATAAATGTTTTGTTGTAAATGCATGTATAACATTATATATGTATTTTCCAATTTGGTATGTGTCAATTTCACTTTTCGTATATGATATATCTTGATTTAGAACATTTTCGATTTGTGCAATTCATATGGGCTTGGATTGAAGTAAGTGAAGAAGTGAACATGTTTTATTTGTTGCTCCAATTAGTGGATTGAGTACAAATATTGGATATGAAAAGTAAGGAAAATGTAGGGAGAATGAAGTTAGATAGGTGCACCATGCGATCGGTTTTGAAGGGGAGGAGAGTGGATTTCCTTGAGTGCTTTGGCAGTTCCAATATGAACTTCAAAAAACTCTATAGGGTCGTTTGAATTAGCAAGTTTGGGAAGGGGTTTTTGTCACACGTCCTGCCTTTTTTTAATTTAGCACTGTTGATGTGACTTGAATCGGACTATCAGCCGCTACGACTGGTAATCGGGGGTCTCGCTCGTGGACGTAGCTAACACACATCGTGTTAGTGAACCACGTAAACCGTGTGTCTGTGTTTTCGATTCTCGCTTTCGTATTTTTGCTTTGTCGGTTCCAGCGATTTCCCGATCCGTAGCAGCGCGTTTATAACAAGCACATTTCAGCTTTTGAAAGACTAAAAAAACTGAGGGGTCGTTTGGATGGAGTATTTGTATGAGTTATTTGGGTTCAAATAACTCACAATGAGTTATTTGGACGCAAATAACTCGTTTGGCAGCGTTTTACTGAAATGAGTTATTTGGACAGTGAGTTATTTACAAATAACTCAAAACGAGTTATTAGAAATAACTTATACTCATGTGTTATTTCGAAATAACTCGTTTTATCACTCTGCTTTTACCAAATACCACATGTCAAATACCACATTTGCATGGTTCAACCAAACGAGATACTTTATTTCAATTACCACTAAAATAACATTAAAATACCACATGAGCAATAAATGAGTTATTTGACTCTACAAATACCACATTGACAATTAACCCATCCAAACGACCCCTGAGAAATTTTGGACATGAGGGATTTTAAAAACTTGCAACTCAAGAATTTCTAGTCTACACCCATCAATTATTTTGAAATCCCCCACTTTACTTTTCCAAACCTGTCCCTATTAACTTTTACTAACTCCAATCCTCCCACCACACCTCTGTCACTTCTCCCTCCTCTCACTGTTCCTTCAACTTCTCTTCCGGCAACATGCGATTGTGTATAAGGCAACGATCCCTTGTATTGGTGATCAAAGAACATCTAAGCGCATTTTTCTATCATAGTTATATGAACATCAAGGATCAATCATGAATTTCTCCCTTGAAAAAATGCTAGCGATACGATAACCACAAAATTCTCTCTTGGATTGAGAACTGAATATAAATAATCCAATCTCACGAACAAGGGCTTGGTCTAGTGGAAATACCACTAGCCTAGAACCTGGAGGTCCCAGGTTCGAATCCCTTAAGTAGTACCTTAATAACAACAAAATAAACCCTATATCACCCTTATAAAAAAAAAAAAAAAATAATCCAATCTCTTGTACTAGTGATCAAAGAACATGTAAGCACAATTTCGTCTCTAACTTATATAACATCAATGATTAATCATGAATTGATCCCTTGAACAAATGCTGGCAATAATCACAAATTTCTCCCTTGGGTTGACAACTGAATATAAACAATCCAAAAATAAAAAAATTCAAGAAAAAAATCAATAAATATATAATTCAAATCTTAAAAGGGGTACATGAACCATGGTAGGTTCCATAAATGATAAACCTAAACAAACAGTCACAGTAGAAACTAGAAAGATAATATAATACATAAGTACCAAACAAACTGTTGAAGCCCCTTCGATCCGCCCACTCCTCTTCCGTACCGTGCCCTCGCTTTCGTGGAACTCTCTGCACACACAGAGGTGGGCCTGGTGGCCCGTTAATCCTCCAACGCTCAAGTCGGTATTTTTCTTAGTGAGAGAAGTGCTCGCTACTCCAGATTTTTTAGTGAGAGAAGCCAAATTGAGTAAATGCTTACCAACCATCCTATTTATAACTATTCATAGCCTATCCTGGCCTTCCGTACGGACTTCCGCGTCATCATCGCATTTAATGCTCCCGTCGCCCTAGGCGCCTGGTTTGATGCCCTTAATCGTGTGCCCAACATCGGGCGCCTAACGAGCATCGGTCTGTGCCGCCACTTCTTCAGGCGTCCCAATTACAGCACCTATCCTATTAGGAAAGGCCAGGCTCCCGACTTTATCTATCTGACCTCTTCTCGCACGCTTTTGGGCTTCTCTAGGCGGGCCTTGTTTCTCTTTGGGCTTCCTTAAGATTCGCCTTCCTCACATTAGGCTTCTTCACGGACCACAGGCTATGTCAAGTCCGAATACCCCCAACACAAACATTTCTCATTTTGGGAGGCCTGTGGTGGCGTTCTGGGACCGCCACCTTCTTCTAGAGCTTCATGATGAGAGTTTTTTTTAGGGTAACATGAACCTTTGGTTCGTGAGAGTCCAGGTTATTTCATTTTAAATGCTAAAATATGTATTTAGCAGCTCTGATATTAGGTTATCTTGTCACGGAGTTAGATTTTGGAAAGAAAAACTTATATTACAGTCTTCTACCGTCACACATAAGTCTGAGCTCGAATTGAAACCTGTGATCTTAATAAAAGGGTTATAGGGTTTCTTCTTGAGCCAAAGGGGGTCTGGACTTGCCCTAGAGGTTTTTGGACCATCCTGGATGACCGCCTCGAGTTTATAGATGACTGGAATTTGATTTCTTTCTTTGGTTCGTGGCTCAATTCATCTTGTGCAAGTCTACATTCATCCATCTTCTTTCTGCTTTAGTATGAAATGAAATCATGCAAAACTATCAAACACTGCATCAAAACTTAAAAGTATAAAAAATACTCATAGACTATAAAATTCACAAAAAAACATATATGAACCATAACATAATGAATATAAAGATGCATTGAAATGGTCAAAATTTTATTAAATGTCATTAACAATGCGTGATTATCTCAAATTCTCTTGGTGTCATTGTACCCACAATCTTCTTATAAAGAGTAGGGGTCTCATGCAAGACGATAATGGTGACACCCCTTGCCACTTAATGGTGGTGTCAAGGCATGGTGACTCCCTTGCCACAATGCGTGACGACTTTCTGTAGTAAGACACAATAACCTCCCTCCTTGTCGCTTGATGACGATGAACACTTTTCGTCCTTCGCAAGAAGGGAGGTTGGCACAAGAACGAAAGCTAGGCAGTAGGCATAGGCGTCGATGTGACATGTCCTTATTATGTCTGAAAATCCAACCCTAATGCCCGGGTTTAAACTGTTTTGATTGTTACCGTTAAGAAATCTCGATAAAGACCTCACATTTTTTTTTTTGGTATTGAACTAGTATGATACGAAATTGAATTGAGATGTAAACACCACATGATATTGAAGAGTCATCCCCATAGACAAAGACAAAGATGATGGAAGTGGTACAAACTGTGCTACGTCTATATCCACAACCACAATAAACAGAAGATCCAAATCGCGATTGCACTATTCTCGCCACCTTCGCGGAAGTTTCGTGCCATTCGGCTTTTATAGGTCTCCTCGAAGCAAAGCCATACAAACCCATTTTGTTTTCTGTAGTAGTAGAACTACTCCCCAACAATTATTTTCCTTTTCGATGATAGACAAAAGAGTCCAAAAAATACTCTACTCCATCGACACTCACGAGAGAAAATATCACCATGTCGTCGAGCGGCGGCGGCGGCGGCGGTGGGCAGAGGCTGAACAAGTTGCTGGTGAATGTGAAGATAGAGAGGAGCCTAGGCCCCGTGCAGGTGTTCATGTCGCCGGAGAGCCGGGTGAAGGATTTGATAAAGGCGGCGGTGGAGATTTACGTGCGGGAGAAGAGACGGCCGTTCTTGGAGGAGAATGATCCTCGTCGTTTTCGACTTCATTACTCCCAGTTCACCTTCCAGAGTAAGTTCAATTTGACGTGAATAAGTACGTTTGCTCTGTTGCATCTTATTGCAATTGAAAAATCTTGTATGGTAATTGAATCATCGTATTCGAATGAGTTCGATTTGTAACTAACTATCGAAAGAAATTAGACAACTCTGTTATCTATAATGATGGTTGATTAATAAGTGTAGCTGGAAATTGTGGGGTGTAGGTTTGGAGGAAGAGGAAAAGCTGGTGAATTTGGAATCCAGGAATTTCTTTATGTGCTCAAGGCCTTCACCGACCACAACCTCGTCATCATCGGCCGGTTGCTCATCGGAGGACTCTGAAACAACGGTGGCATTCAAGACTCCTTTCCTTTCAATAAACTGGATAGACTTCTTGCTTTAGGAGAATAAATTAATTACTATTAGTATTTTTTTTTTTATTTTTTAGGGAAAATCAGTATTCATTTATTGAAATGTCTACTATTATGTAGTGGAAGAGTGAATGAATAATTGATTGTGACATGAATTAAATAAGAGTATTAACTGGTAATTTTGTTTGTGATTACAGTGAAGAATAACTCCTTCGAGATCAGATTCAACTATCCGAAGAAGGGAGAGTTACTAGCTAGTTGTGCACCTAGCTAACCAACAGTAGTAAAGCGCTCTCTACTTCGCCATTGTGATCGTTATTGATTTGTGTGGGTTCTGTTTCGGCCTAGATATCGTAGTAAGGGGTTACCGATTATAGTCTTAAGTTCCGATTTTGAAATTTTATGTTTCGATGGACTGAATGTGATTGGAGAAGTGAAGTGGTAAGAGAGTGAAATCTCGGACCTGTACTTAAATTAATTAACTAGAGAAGCCAGTAGTTCACTGCGTTTCGCATCAAGCGAGCGATGTGAAAGGTTACATGTGATTGTAAGAGGGAATAAACTAATACGTAAGGAACACAAATTCAAAAAACACAGGGCTAACTCTCATTTGATGAAAAAAGTAACAGGTGATAGAATCAAACATAGTAAGAGATTCCAGAAATAGGAACATCTAAGTATCTGAATAGGAATTGAGAAAACGCATTTTGGAATAAATTGAAGCAAACACTAAAAATGGGCTCGTTGGCCAATGAATAGGTATCGATTGGGAAACAACAAACAAAATAGTAAATTTGAAATCTTTTTAGGTTATGGAACCTGATTTGAATTGTTGAGACTTGATCATTGTGATTATCTTGTTCTTCGATGAGTACTACTATCGCGACTCCGTTCACCCACCTTGCGGGTATCCTCGGATCTAGCAAATCGCTAAAGAGATAAATAAGATGACAAAATTAAATACGAACAATGAAGTTATTTTCGTTACAGAAAAATAAAATGATATAAAAAGAAAGTCATAAAAATTTAACGAAATAAGAGGTAAATGAAGGAAGAACGTTGCATCTTGTGTCGTTGGTTGAGACGACACTTGTGTTCTTTTCATGGTGAATAAAAAAAATTACAATTGTCATCATATATTCGAATTCGATAAAAAAAGGGTTATAGGTATAATATGCTCCTCTACTATGCAGTTTTATCAAACATGCCCCTCTACTATTTTTTACATCAAACATGTCCCTATACTTTGTAAAAACGATCAAACATGTCCCTATACTTTGTAAAAACGATCAAACATGCTCTTCTGTTAAAATTTGCGTTAAAAAACTATCAACCATGGTCGAACCTTGCTTTGGGTGACACCTATGTCTAAAATATTCCTGATAATTTCACTTTAGAATTGTTTTGTTTCTTTTGTATAGCCAAATACCTCTGATAATTTCACTTTAACGAGACATGGAGAAATAAATGAGGAGGAAAAACTGACATTTCACCCCCAATTTTTTCGATGTCGGGTCGTGTGAATCTCGGTTCAACCGTGGCTGACCATTTTTAATGGAAATTTTAACATAAGGGCATGTTTGATAATTTTTCCAAAGTATAAGGGCATGTTTGATGTAAAAAATAGTAGAGGGACATGTTTGATAAAATTGCATAGTAAAAGGGCATATTATACCTATAACCCAAAAAAAAAATACGGCAGCAAAAATAAGACTGGGTAGTCACATATAGAAAAAGATGATACTTTTTTTGACAAGGAGATATTTCTAAAAAAAAAAGATACTTGATGACACTAATTTCTTTGATTTTTTTTCTTTGTAGGACTCATTGTAATGAGTTATTAAACAAATGTGACCATAAAAGGAAAAGAGAGGAACAGTGGTGACCATAAAGGAAAAAGAATGGAGAAGTGGATGAGACTCACATTAATGGGCAATTGCCCCCAAAGTTAATGTTAATTACAAATGAACCCTAAACTCCAATGTTATCATAACCAAAATTTCTACCATTGAAACATCTATGTGAATTAATTTTATCTCATTTAAGTTAGTTAATTTTTACCTTCTAATTTATGCATTAATATATTTTAGTACTTTTGTCAGAGTTAATAAGATGTGAGTCGTTATTTTTTTTATGATAATGTTATTCACAAGATAAAGTCAATAAGAGAATGATAGAATATTGACTTGAACAGGTTCAAAATAAAGTCCCAACAATGCGTCTAAGTTTGCGAATAAAGATTTGGTCCAGTGGTATTGTCACTAATCTTGAAACTGAAGGTTTCATATTCAAACTCTTAAAGTAGCATATTATAATGAAAACAAACATATATCACTCTTGTTAAAAAAAGAAGCGTCTAAGTTTACTAAAACCTCCAATATCAAGTTGAACCTCTGGCCGTAGAGGAATAAAGATTCATAAGGTGGGTAGGAATGGCAATGGGACAGGTCTGGGTCGGGTATCTCGATACCCATACCCGCCCCATGACAGGTCGGGTCCAGATCGGGTAATTTATCACGGGGGGCGGGTCGGGGCAGGTCGACCCATTGGGTATGTAATTTATGTGGAAAACATTAGAAATATTCATTCTTTTCATTGAAAGACCAAGAAAGAAACCATAATATGATAAAATGTAGTTAAATTACTGAAGAAATTGAGGTTTTCACTTATTTACAACTTTATTATAGCTAAAATATAATCTAATAAGAGGAAAATCTTAAGTAATTTGACTAAGATTATATGTAATTTAGGCAAGAACGGGTCCATAATGGGGCGGGTCAGAGCAGGCCGGGTCGATGAGAGGTACCCATGCCCGCCTCGCCCCGCCTACGGGGCGGGTTTGACCCGCCCCAAAACAGGTCAAACAGGTCGGGTAAATCGGGTCAGGTCGAAATTGCCATCCCTAAAGGTGGGGGTGATCATGAGAGTTGCGATTCGGCTAACCTTTGGTGAATCCTTATTTGATCAACAATTAAAACTCATTTTTGGCTTTACTATTGGTTGACTGAAGATTGACTTCATTTTTATCATTGGTGAATCGAAAGCTTACTTGGATTTGACTGACGGCCAGATAATATGTATTTGAATCATGAACTAATCGAAATTCATTTTGATTTGACCACTGATGGTCCAAATGTTAGATGTGGTTTGATCATGAACAGATCGAAGGTTGTCTTTAATTTGATCACAAATTTATAGAATTGACTTCGGCTCGACCAAAGAAAATCGAATTTCAATTTCAATTTGAATGTGAGACCAAACATATTTCGGTCCCAATCTCAGTTAGATCAAACGTTGACCATGGTTTAACTGTGGGCCAGCTGAAGCTATATTTCTTTTGACTATCATAGATCAAACCTAACATATTTTTATATAAAAAAATTACTTTAAAATAATTCATGTCTTTTATATTTTTATATTATATTATAATTTATTGGAATATTCAGAATTTTTGTTTTTCTTTGATTAGAAAGATAAAATTGTAACTTTTATATATTTTTTGACAATTTTTAGCAATTTTCAATTTTCATGACCAGAAATAACATTTCTTTAAGATTTGATTATATATTATATATAAATTATTCGTATTTTTATTTTTGGTCTTTGCGATTTTGTAGCGAATCATTCTTTTCCTTTCTCCTAGCCCCTAGGCGAACCAAAAAGTGAAAAAACAAAAGATAACAAATAAGGAAGAAAAGAAAATCAAATAATTACCGGGAAAAAAAAAGAAGAAAATCAAATCAAAACAGTGTTGGTCTTGGAATCCGGATGGCAATGGGGAGATCGAGAATTACCGGGCAGTAATACGCACCAATTCCTCTTACCAGAGCTTATCGCGCGCATCTCAGTCTGCAGAACTCTGGACAAAGATCCTCGATCTAGCGAACGAGCAAAGAACAGGTAGAGAAGAAGAAGTCATTAGAGTAGGGGAAGGAGAATGGGAGATCTATATGTATGGCTAATCTCCTTCTTCATTCTAATAGCCCTACTCGTCATCATCGTCTTCCAGGTCAAGCCCCCTCCTTAAACCCCTTCTCTTCTTCCTTCAAAATTTATTCGATTGATCGTTGAACTTCTGCCTGCCAATCCGCTTACTTCAAATTCAATGCCCTAAAATCCCTAAATTTGCCCCACATATGTTCAGTTTTTCGCTAATCTACTTCAGCCAGCTTTTAGTCTATTAAGTTGTAATTGAAAGTTGATTAATTGCATAGCCCACATCCATGATACGTCAGAGCTTGTTGGTTTCTCCCCTTATTGGGAAGCTTCGATCATGTTTTGACGCCAGTTCTGGTTGTTGGTAGTTAATGGTCTGCTCCGGGGAACAGTTTCAGTCTTTAGGGTTGATAGCTTGTTTTTAAGGTTTTGATCATGTTACAATAGCGATGAACTTTATATCATGCATTGTGTATTGCAATGTAATGTGGGTTACTTTTGATCAAGACACTCAGTGAGGAGCTTGTTGTTAGGAAGTCCTTTGCTGCTGTGTAAGAGGTTGGGATTTGTTTAGGGGTTGCTGAAAGATGGAAACTTCTTGGTCCAATTACATGCAAGGACCAGGTTGGAGATTGGGGTTTGCAGCTTATGGCTGCAGTTCTGCTGTGATATGAAATTCTGACATGCTGTGAACTTGTTTTTGCAGCTTATGTGCTTGGCAGATTTGGAGTTCGATTACATCAATCCTTATGACTCTTCTTCAAGGATAAACAAAGCGATTATGCCCGAGTATATTACAGAGGGAGCTTTGTGCTTGTTTTACCTAGTGACAGGGCATTGGTGTATGTCACTCATTTGTGCTCCTTACCTCTACTACAATGCCAGGCTGTAAGTTCACTTTTACTCATCTGCTATGTTTAGCCAGTTTTGTTGGTTGTGTTATCCCCTGCACTCTTTCAAGATTTGTTTATTGAGCATATGCCCATAGGATCATGTCCATGTGCACAAAGTGATTTGATTGAGAGTTGTTGCATTCAAGTTAACAGTTGAAATCCAATCTAGAGCAAGCATAATAATTTCATTGTTGCACAGTAAGCAGATAGCCAACCGGTTATTTGCTCTGTGCATTTTCTATATGCTAGCTAGAACAAATAAATCTTCAGCCTGAAATGGGTGCTCCGAAATTTAGGAATACAGTAACATGGATTTATGAACTTGAACCTTTCTGGACCCTTTAGTTTGGGACAATGATAACCAATTTTACTACTGGTGCTTACACTATTAAGCCATATTTCTTTCGAATGTTAGGCTCCTCCGTTCTCTAACTTTCCACTAATCTGCTAGTAGATGTTACGTATTCAATCTAGGAAGTAAGTATTTGGTGCTACAAAACTGGAATAGCTGGATGGTCTATGCTGCGTTGTCTTATTCAGCAAATTATTGGTTGCAATTGTCAACATTTTTTTAATTAGTATATTAGGTGGGTCATCAATTGGTAATCTGATATGGGTCAAAGTTGTACGAATGTATAGATCCCTTTTATTGGCGGGATTGAGCCAGTGTTTTCTCGTTTCTTGGTGAGAAGAACCAGATGTTTCTTTGCTGAAATAATGCTTGCCTTTTTCATTCAAATCCAAAGCTTATAAGAACAATAACAGAAATAACAAAAGCCTACAAGTGCTGAACTACCAACTGCACGCCCACTTAAGGTGGGATTGTGCTTATTCATCCAACAGCTACTAAGACCAGTTCAATTAACAATAACCGAAATCTATGGCAAGCTACTGGAAACGTGCTTCTCTGATTAAGCATCCACGAAGCGAGGGTTGTGCTGGCGAAGGCGGTCCCAACGTCTAGGCCCAGCTGGTGTTGAGGTTTGCAGCCCATCATAATCGTCTTTTGCACTTTTAGCCCTTGAACCATCCAATCCTCATTGATTCAGCTGAAAGAATTTGAAATGGGGAATGGAGTCTAATAAGCTCATTTCTCTTCTTTTTATATTAGTGCCCGTTCTCATTCCACTATATGGTTTCCTAAGGAATGGAAACTTTTAGGTTCTTTCACATCCAGCTTACTCATTACTGTTCTTGTTTTGTTCGTTCCGTGCTGCATGTTCTCATTTGCATGCAATAAACCTGCATACTAGCTCCCTATCTTTTCTTGTAATGACTAACTCAGACTGGGTTTTGGCTTACTTGTCTGTGTTTCATGTGATCGATTAGTTACACAAGACAAAAACATCTGATAGATGTTACAGAGATTTTCAACCAGCTGCACGCGGAAAAGAAGCAGCGGCTTTATAAATTGTTTTATCTCATTATTCTCCTTTTCCTATCAATATTCTGGTAAGTTGATGCTGCTGGTCAATTTCTTGCAGGTCCCATTACCTTAACTAGTTAAAAACTGAATTTGAGATGGCTCTACTCTAATTCTCCTGTCCACTGTAGGATGATCTTGACCGCCTTGGAAGATCACGACATGGATTAAGTTGCATCTCACTTATCCTGGATCTCGATATTGTGTGGAGGTACATGGTACATAAATCTGCTGCCTTCAAATGAGCGGGGCTTAGAAGAAGAGGGTTTGTGTAACTGATATAATGTGCAAGTCCCAGGATGAACAATTGATTTCATCTTTTGTTGATTTAGCAATTATAGATTTTCTTTGTAGACATCATACAACTACTACTGGACTTGGTCTCAAGATTAGATGTACGTTTTTGTTTGCTGTGTCCTTTTTCTTGCCTCGGCCTCCATGTAAGATTTCATTTGGTTAGAGGTTGTTTTGTTGCCTCACCCTAGTTTCATGTTTGACATTTCGTGCTCGCCAAGAAATTTGCCGTGTGTGTTGCCCTCGTGACGTGGACACGTGGGTAACCAGTCGGCCGAACCCTAATTATACACTCATATACTCCTCCTTATTCCACACGGAAAGGGAAAACGTTGGCGCATAAATGCACGACCACCCCTGTTTCCGACTTTGCTACTAGTTCCCCGTGCCTGGTATTCCGTTTCTCCTCACCCTTGGCGATTTTAGCTTTCGCCCATCGGCGTTGCCCCAGCGTAGTCGGCGTTCAAACATTTTCTGTTTATTTGTAATCTCGCCTTCTTTCTCTTGTTTCAATCGCCAGCGGAACCGGTTAGTATTTACTTCCCTCGTCCTTCCCTCTCTGGTTTGATGGGTTTAAAAATATCATGCAAGTTTATCTCGTTAGCAGTTGGCTTCTGTTAAAGACTCTCTCATATAGATATAGATGTTCTGAATGAGGACATGAGATGTGAATCCAGAAAGTAGCCCGCTAGCACATTGATTCTACGGTCATGCTTTGCTTGGTCTTCCATCTTAGATTAATGGTGATCATCCCATCTATTTTGGCTTCAGTTTCGGACCCTTGAGGTTACCACGGCTTCGCTCTGTTGAAGATGGTTGGGAATGCCAGCACCGAAGGAGTGTTCATTGCGTGGTGAGCATTAGAAGTTTCCATGAAGAGATGATACAATTATTTTGTGTGTGTTTGAGTTTCTGTTTTGGTGCTTTCATGTTCACTGACTGTCTTTTTCTCTCTATTAACCATGTTGTTTTTGGCATTTTGACAGCGACATACTAATGGCACAACTCATCATCCACATGAATGATTTAAAGGCACCATCCGAGAAGTTCATTGTCCGTGTTTTGGACGAGAAGCATCTCTTTGTGCTACCCGATGCTGCTGGTATGATAAGAAAAGCCATTTCCAAGTCCAGAAAACAGAATTCGTTTCAGAGGCCTTCTTAAATTCCTTTCAACTTCGATGAACAAAAACGGTTTATGTTTTGGTAGTTTGAGCATAGAAATCACTTACCCCGAATCCTATTTTCACGCCCTACTGAGTTTGCCTTCGGTGCATAGTATAATACATCGGTGTAGAGTGTAGCATGCTCTCAGTTTGCAGTAACTCTGCACTGGAACGATCAACACGCATGGGCAACATACGATTCAGAGATGAGAAGATCATACTCCGTTTAACACTCGGAGTAGGGACTAACTATTTCCACTCCTAAAAAATGTTGATCCGACTTGTGACATGGGCCGGACAATAGCCCGGATACCTTACCGGGCCGCAACTCCATCTCTTCCGTGGCGTAGGAGGGTTGAAATAGTCATTTACACAATAAAACCCTAGAAAACCCTAGACGAGACAAAAGACTGGAAAGTTGAAACTCTCGTAGTTCGCGGCCGCCTCCTTATACCCAAAACCTACAGAGGCTCATCTCATCTCTTCTTGTTATAAGTCAGATCCGCTTGGCTTCTTTTACAGTTTCATTCACCCATCTCGGTACTCTTCCTCACCCTAGATTTTCTGCATCATCCTGAGCTAGGGTTTTCGTTGATTGTTCTTTATTTTCCATCTCCGTTTCAGTTTGTGAATGCTAAGATTTTGCAGTGCTTCTTTGTACCGGTGATGTTGTTAAATATAGTTTGAGAGATATGGTCTTGTATTTCTGAAAGCAATATTGCACGGAGACCCGGCAAAAATAATGGATCAATCTTTTTCCTGCTGTTGAAGGGGCAAGTGATGATAGAAATAGACAGGGACATCAGTTACTCCCTTCCTCTTGTGGGTTTGGAGGATGATGACTAGTCTACAATGGGAATCTCTCTGATGCCTTTCTTTCTTCTTCCATATTTTGTTATGATTAGCTATTTTGTTTGGTCCTTCTGAAATTTTCTCGTGGTTTGCCGATGATGCATATGGAAATGTCATGTATTACCAGATAAAATACAGCTGATGATAATTCCAATATTGTCACTACCTCTGAGGTGAACTTTAATTTGTTTGTTTTTGTCAATTCTACTGGTCTTCTACAATGCTCTTATGGTTGTGTCCGTGTACCAGTGATGGTGTTAAATATACTTTGAGGTATGGTTTGTATCTCTGAAAACAATCTTCCTCTGAGGTACACTTATCAGCAATAGAAGTTTCAATCTCTTTGTGCCTGACTGTTTGTCTTGTCAAGTATGTATATGTAGTCTGAATGGGCAATTGATGATAGAACAGACAGGGACATCAGTTACTCCGTTCCTTTTGGGTTCGGAGGATGATGATCAAGTCTAAAATGGGAATCTCTCTGATGCCTTTAGCTTATATACAACTTTTTAACAACTTGATTTCTCATGTAGTGTCTAAAGTTTCAGACTTCACGGTTTGCCAATGATGTACATGTTAATTGCACGTATTATCAGAGGTATAGCCTGATGACTTTCACTACCTCTGAGGCGAACCCTTATTGTATTTTTATTTCGGTTAATAGCTGTGGATGTGTTTGGAAGCCTGATGATGATTGTGAAAAGAACGGAGATTTGAAAGTGGGTGGGTGCAGCTGTTGAAGCTCGGTTGTTTGAACTGGGCTCCAATTGCATCTGTCAATGTAATAGAATCACTACGTCATGTCGATTTTGAAGGCTTTGGCTTTCGTCTCTGTTCTATCCAATACGTTTTTGGGTCTTTTGAAACTAGTTGGCATGTTCAATGTGGTTCAAGTAGTTTCTTTACCAGCTGACAGCTGCTGCTGCAAAGATTATGGTGGAAGTCTGATAGTGTTCTAGTTCTGCAGGAAGCAAGAGGGAGTTTTAAAACTATCATTTTAGTTATTCATCTATTGGTTTTGCTTTTGCTGAGAAATTAATGGTCTGTTCTTTGTTGCTGGCCATTGTCACTGTTGGACTCTCAATTGTCCTGATAGCATCATGAAGTCATGATTAGTTAATTGTGTTAGATTAGATCGCCAATTTGCAGAGCAAGAGCGTCTGTCTAAAATGGCGTAACTTGCATTGAAGGTTGGCAAGAACGAATTAAGCAATTCTCCGTGCCTATCAAATCTCCCCATTTTGAATATGGCCTCGAACAAGTTGCAACATCCTTTTTGGTTGTCTAAAGTTATGCTCTTTTTTCTTATTTAGCCGCTGCTTGGTTTTTGGTAGTTTGAATGGTGTAGTTTCGGTTCCTTGGGTGATTTTTCAGTACATGATGATGAGCAAACTGGAACAAATGTCGAAAAAAGCTCGAAGGTGTTCTTTTATATAGTGGTAGGTAAGATGAAAGCAGTCTTTGCCGATACAGTCCCAGAAACAGCAGAGTGTTTTCGTGCTGTTTGTATCCAGGAGAATGTTGGGAAGTCCATATACGGGAGAACTTCAATCTGAAGCGCACTGGCCATGGCCTCCTGTCCATGTTGAATGCATTGCCAAAAGACGAACGGTTCCTAGTTAACCGTTAAAACTTCGTGGTTTGGTGGTATGCATTTGGTGCCAAGTGGTTGATAGCTATAGTGTCGTCAAGGAGATGGTGAAGAATGGTTCTAATAGTGGCACCATTTCCTAAGTGTTGTTATTGATTATTGTGGTGAGGTTGCTGTGGTCGGTGAGGCTAATCATACTGTTTTTGAGAAATAAGTTTCGATTTTGAAGAATGTCTTTGTTTATGTTACATCATTCCATTCCCTTCGGGGATTGCTGGATCAACACTTGGAAGCATCTTAGTGATAAGGAAGATACAAAATGATTATCAAGAGCAAAAACCAAATGGATCAAAAAATGCAGAAAGATGAGTTTTGGATAGGGTTAATTTCATGGTTGGTCACTGAGATTAAAAAAACGTTTTGGTCATTGGAAATATTTAAATCCAATCTTGGTCACTCAAATTAGTTAAATGGTTCAAGTTTAGCCACTCTCCGTCCAACTTCGTTAAATTTGTCTAATGTGGCAGTCATCCTTCAAAGATGATCGTTAACTCAGTGACGTGGCAATTAAAAAATAATTAATATAATTAATTATATAATTAAATTAAGTATATACACAGTGACTCGGACAGAAAGAGATCACCAAAATTTCAAAACAAAGAGTCCGAGAGAGATCACCAAAATTTCAAAACAAAGAGCTCACTGACTGTTCCAACTTCTTCTTCTTCCCCACTTCATTTCTCTGTAAGTTCCCCTAGGGTTCTTTGACAATGGCGGAATCCGCGGCCGCGTCAGTTGCTCCGAGCGCCGAACTGCTGGAGTTTCCGAACAAGGACAAGCGTTGAATGCTCCACGCCGTCTATCACGTCGGCGACCTCGATCGCACCATTCAGTAAAGCTCTCCGCCGTCGCATCTTATCAAATTTTTTTTATTTCTCCACCGATTGATTCGCTTCTGCCTTATTGATTTTTGAACTATAGGTTCTACACTGAAGGCCTAGGTAGGTATGAAGCTGCTTATGAAGCGAGACATCCCTGAGGAGAAATACTCCAACGCCTTTCTCGGATTCGGCCTTGAGGACTCGCACTTCGTCTTCAAATTGACTTACAATATGATACTTCTTTCTTTCTCTTCTCCCCCTCAATCTTCATTCGATTTGAGAGGAAAATTCTGATTTTCCTTCGCTTGCTTAGTTCAGATTATGGTGTGACCTCCTATTACATTGGGACTGGATTTGGGCACTTTGCTATTGCCACTGAAGATATAAGTATTGGCAACCTCAATCACCGTCCCTTCCAAGAGGTAGTACTCATACAGGTTGATAGCTTCAACGTCGTCATTATAAGTAGGCAATTCCGCACCAGCACAACGCAATTTGTAGTCGCTAATCTTGAATCGGTCAAACATCAGCTCCTCCAGGTCACGGACGGTGTCGGTCTCCCGGATATTGAAGGTGGCCTTCTCGTCGCCGAACTTTACCACGAACGAGATCTTCTCTCCTCTTCTTCGACAGCGGAGGAGGAAGCCACCCTTTTCAATTTGTAATTATAATATTTTTTTTTGTTTTATTTATTTTACTTTATTGTGAAAATGAGTTGGAAATGATAAAAGATTAAAATTTATTTTATTTATTATTTTTTAATTGCCACGTCACTGAGTTAACGGTCAACTTTGAGGGTTGACTGCCACATCAGACAAATTTAACGGAGTTGGACGGAGAGTGACCAAACTTGAACCATTTAACTAATTTGAGTGACCAAGATTGGATTTAAATATTTCCAGTGACCAAACATAAACGTTTTTTGTAATCTCAATGACCAACCATGCAATTAACTCGTTTTGGATATCTAAGGACAATAATGAGTGTAAAGGGTTGGCGGATTAAAAAGTGAGGTTACGACCAAAAAATACTCGAGACCAAAGAATCCCATCAAGTAACTATAATAATGATACACTATAGTTTTGAATAGGGATGGCAACAAAATTTGAACCTACGTGTACCCTATCTGATCCAACCCGGTCAACACGAATTTTGGGTTGGGTTTGGGTTTAAACATGTTCACTATTCACCGGATTGGGTTGGGTTTAGGTATATCTGTCTCATGGATATTCGCCCCTCACCCATATAATAAATTTTTCCGGTATATTTAATATTCTAACAACTAATTTTCTTTATATTTGTGGAGACATGTCTGAATTCTTCTTTCTAATTGTGTAGAATGAAGTTGATATTATCGAGTGGAGAGTGAAAAACTTAATTGACGAGGAATAAGCTTTCAATTAATCATGTTGTTTATGGATAATTTGTGATTTGCTTCAATTTTCTTAAGTTTTCTATATTTGTGTTGAACAATTTGTATTAGGGGTGGAAGTTTGGGTTGCGGGTTGTGGATAATCCGCAAACCGCACCAACCCGCACCTATTGTGGGTAGTGGGTTGGGTGTGGGTAGTAAAATAACAATTTTTGTGGTTAGTGGTTATCCACTACCCACCGCGGTTAACCCACAAAATCCACAATAACCATACTAATTATATTTATTTGGTGAATTAACTTTATAATATAATAGTATGTGAAAAGTGAGAGGATAAAAATTAAAGTAGCCACCAAATAAAAAAGACACACCTAATCAGTTTTATGTAAGAATTTTTTAGTTTATACAACACTATAATCGATAGAGTGGAGAATAATAAATTCATTAAAAGTGAACACCTTTTGTAACTTTTATCAGTATGTTTTTGCTTTTGTGTGAAAAAATACAAGATCATATTTAATTGTCATATTTTACCCCTAGTAGGGAAAATATGAAATCACAGCTCTCTGACACAAAAGTTAAATACCAAACTCAAAAAGAAAAAATCTACACGTTGAGTAAGATCGATGTACAAAATTGTATCTCACGAACAACACAAGTGTATATCACTATAGTCTAGTTACGAACAACAAATACGTTAGTGGCGACTAGTAAGGGTGGAAATTGGGGTGGGTGTGGTTACCCGCCCCACATTTTGCGGGTAACCACACCCACAAATATAGAATTATGCTACCCACAACCCGCCCCGCAGTGGGTAGTGGTTAACCACTACCCGCTGCGGGTTGGTACTGGTTGGTTGTGGATACCCACAAAAATTTCACATTAAATATAATAATATGATAATTAAATAGTGATATTGTGTTTTTTCTCTCACAAAATGTAAAAAACATACATAAAAGAAAGGGGTAAATGCCACATTTGGTCACTAAGATTACTAAACAGTGTCATGTTTAGTCACTAGTAAAATTTAATATCAATTTTGGTCACTGGAATTACTGAAACAGGTCACATTGGAGTTGGACGGAAACTAAATGGAGAGTGACTAAATGTGACATGTTTCAGTAATTCGAGTGACTAAATGTGACATGTTTCAGTAATTCGAGTGACAAGAGTTGGACGGATGCTACAAGAGAGTGACCAAATGTGACCTGTTTCAGTAATTCGAGTGACCAAAATTGATATTAGATTTTTCTAGTGACTAAACATGACACGATTTAGTAATCTCAGTGACCAAATGTGGCATTTACCCTAAAAGAAAGTTAATAAAGTGTAAAATAAATTATAAATCTCGAATACAATAGGTTAGTTAGTGTAAATTCAGAAGAGATGGATTTGGAAAGAGATTTGAAGATAACGGAGAGGCGGAGTGATTTGTTACCAGACAAACATCGTTGCATGTCACGGCTCCTCCGATGGCAACAACAGCAAAACACAAAAGTGGCTCGATAAGTGGAGACACTCGCTTTTAATGAATCGATTATTCTCCACTCTCGATTATAGTCTTGTATTGTTGGTAGTTGGTTGCATGTTGTGTTGTTCGTGAGTTCGTGGAGAAATGGAGATGAGTTTGGGTATCGGACTAACCCTTATCGATTATTCCCCTCTTTTAACGAATCGATTAATTTATATGACTATATCTCTGGACTTGATTTTCTTATAAAATAAACGTATATCACACGGACAATGCTTATATGATAAAAGTATCTCACATGAATATTGCGTATTGACTTGGTTTTGTTTTATAGAATAAGTGTGTATTTGATTTTGGTAGCTACTTTAATTCTTAGTCTTCCAAGTTTCACATACTAATATAACTAATGTGGTTAATGTGGGTTACAAAAGTATTATAAAGAAGGGTTATACGTATAATATGCCCCTCTACTATGTCATTTTATCAAACATGCCCCGTAACTATTTTTTACATCAAACATGCCCCTGTACTTTGGGAAAATGATCAAACATGCCCTTTTATCAAAATTTAGATCCAAAAACTGTTAACCACGGTCGAACTTCGGTTTGGACGACATAAATCTCTAAAATACACCTACTAATTTCACTATAGAATATTTTTTGGCTCTTTTGTAAAGCCAAATAATTCTAATAATTTCACTTTGACGAGACCCAGAGAAATAAAACAGGGGACAAAACTGACATTTTTCCTCTCGTTTGCCGATGTTGGGTCGTCTAAATCTCGGTTCAACCATGATTGACAATTTTTTCAATAGAAATTTTAACAGAAGGGCATGTTTGATAATTTTTCCAAAGTACAGGGGCATGTTAGATGTAAAAAATAGTAAAGGGGCATGTTTGATAAAACGACATAGTATAGAGGCATATTATACCTATAACCCTATAAAGAAATAATATAACTAATGTGGTTAATGTGGGTTTTGTGGGTAGTGGTTAACCATTAACCACAAAAATCAATATTTTGCTACCCACACCCAACCCACTATCCACAAATTATGGGTATGGGTATCCATAAAGTGTACGATTTGGTACGGTTTGTGGGTTACCCGCAACCCGCAAACCAAACTTCCACCCCTAGCGACTAGAACTCTATGCTTGCAAAGATGGATTTTTGCGGGTAATCACACCCAACCCGCACAAACCCACAGTGGGTAGTGGTTACCCATTAACCACTGCGGTGCGGGTTGTGGGTAGCATAATTGTAGATTTGTGGGTGTTGGCACCCGCAAAATGTGGGGCGGGTAACCACACTCACCCCAATTTTCCCACCCCTAATCTGTATGGTTAATTTGTTATTTTCTTGAATTTTCTATAATGGTGTTTTATACATGGATAATTTGTATTGAGAGATTGATATTTGACTTTTATTTTAATAGGATCTTGTTATTGTAAAATTTTACAACAAAAACCTATGGGTACCTATACACCCACGCAGTGGCGGATGCGTGCATGTTTAGGAGCGTCCCGGGACACCCCTAAAATTTGGAAAAACGATTGTCCAGTATCCGATAGTAGTTTGCGTATACATACAAAAAAATAAAATTAAGTGGTAGTGAGACACTCTTAAAATATGAAAAAATCATTATTCAACTTCCTGTAGTAGTTTGTGTATAGTGCATTTAATATTATGTGGTAGTTTATGTGATTTGAACTTGAGAGCTACTATTAGTAAACATATTTTTTATTTGACTTAATTGTTTTGTTTTAAATCCAAATATAATAGTAAAAGGCTATTCTTATCTCCCATTATTTTTAAAACCTAATGATTATACCCAATTACGAACTACCCTTGTCTAGTAGGATGTGTCTATAGATATTTGTTGAGCAGTGTAAACACCGAATGTATTTTACCATTTTTCATAATAGGAAACACGTCTGAAATTTTATTGTAACTTTTACTAGATTGATAATTATTAATTTTTATATTGCATATTTAATAACAAATTAATTTTTAATTAAATTTAATTTTTGGAAGAGGACACCCCTATGTAAACTTTCTAGATCCGCCACTGAACCCGCGGATACCCAGCGGTTTGGGTTTGAGTTTTCCATACGAATAAACCCATGACTTTGAGTTTAGGTTTGACAAAACCCGATCCAACTCGACCCATTGCCATCCTTAATTTCGAAAACAATCAAAATAATATAATATCACATAACATTTTGAGATTCGCTAGAAAAGATAACATACTGAACAATTGAATTGGAAGGGACTATATAGCTGTGTGGACGATAACTGATCATATAATTTTTTTATCTTATATTTCAATTTGCAGGAAATGCTGATAGAAAAAGATTGGGCTCAAGGCCCAATCAGTATTCCGATCTTACTGTGATACAGGGAACACCATAATCTGTCCTCCCTTCTCTCTAAATGGTCTAACTCCAACTCCAATCCTCAAACCTCTCTCGGAACTCGGAAGACCTTAAACTGTTAAACTCGCACGACAGGACTCGGAAGAACTCAGCAAACTCCGCAAAACAACAAAAATGGCGTCCTCGCTCAATGCTAACCTCCACCAACCTTCTCTCAGGTTCAACCCTCCAGCCTACAGTCTTCTCTCTCTATCCTCTAAGATAGCTAAAGCGCAATTGAACTTTCAATTACTTTCCGGATTTTGATTCTGTATTGTCTTCTGTGGGCAGCTTCGGGACGAACCTTTACTCCGGATTGAAGCTGCAATCTCCAAGTTCTGTTCTTTAAGAAACTCCCTTCTCCTTTCTTGGAATTGGGCATTACAATTTTTCCATTGTCGTGATTGTGTGTTGTTTGTTGTCTTTGCGAATTTGCAGGTGTTCATGGAATTGGGCGACCCAATGTCACTGCAGAATTCTTCGGCCAAGTCCATAAGAGCCTCCATTCCGGGTAAAGTTCGGAACTTTTTACAATTCCACTTGTTTTGGGGCTTGATTAGAGTTGAGACTATATGCATGATTCGTAAAAGTTTGAAGCTTGAACATTTAGGTTCTTGCTTTGTTTTGAGTTTTGAATCAGTGGCATCTCGTATGAAAAATGGTTATATTGAACTGAAACTTCTTTTTGAGCACTATTTACTTATGATGAATGCTGGTGCTATACTTTGCCTGCAGGATTCGCAACTCTAAACCAATTCGAGCAGTTAAAATGATGCCTATTGGTGAACCAAGAGTACCCTATAGGACACCAGGGGAGGGAACTTGGCAATGGGTTGATTTGTGGAATGCCCTCGTAAGTTATTTGTATGAATGTGGTTAGTCAGTTGTGAACACAACTTTAACCTTAATGACATATTGTAGCATGGTTTACCAAAGACTGCATGTGTTAGCCTTTTGTCCTTCATTAGATGGCTTGAAAACCTTTCCCAATCATTTTGCTGCAGTATAGAGAACGAGTCATCTTCATCGGGCAGGAAATCGATGAAGAATTCAGCAACCAAATATTGGGAACAATGTTGTACCTTGATAGCGTTGATGAGTCCAGAAGGATGTACTTTTACATTAATGGACCCGGTGGAGATGTATGTGTTTCGTGTAATTTATTCTTTCAACTTGAATGCTTCTATTTGGTTTTTGTTATGCTCAAACTGCTTTTGTTTATACTTACACGCTAAGAGTGTGCATTCTTCTGTTTGCAGCTTACTCCCAGTTTAGCTATCTATGACACCATGCAGAGCTTGAAGAGTCCTGTTGGTACCCACTGTGTTGGGTTTGCATATAATCTGGCTGGTTTTCTTCTGGCAGCTGGTGAAAAGGTAAGATTTCAATTGCACTCATTCCCTTAAACGGTTAAACTCTTGTTAAAATGTTCGACCAACCATTAACTTTCGGTGATCAAGTGTGCTAAAGTGTTTGACAAACCTTCTGAATTTTTCATTCTGATTCAATTTCTCCTATGTTAAATAGGGACAACGGTCTGCAATGCCTCTTTCCAGAATTGCATTGCAGTCTCCAGCTGGGGCAGCTCGTGGTCAGGTACAGAATGCTACCATATGATCTTTCGTCGAGTAAACCCAATTGTGGACATTTCTTTGACATTTTGGATTCAATTGACATTTTTCTGTCAGGCGGATGACATTCGGAATGAGGCAGATGAGCTTCTTAGAGTCAAAGACTATCTTTACAAGGAATTGGCAAAGAAAACCGGACAACCTTTTGAGAAGGTTGGTTTTTACCTAATACATAAATGGTTTTGCCTCATTTTTTCGTTTCATTATCACCGCTCTTAACATAAGTGTTTGTGCAGATTGACAAGGACTTGAGCAGAATGAAACGCTTTGATTCCCAGGAGGCCCTTGACTATGGTCTCATTGACAAGATAATTCGACCACCACGAGTTGATGAGGACACACGTCCGAAGGATGCAACAGCTGGTCTTGGTTAGTGCAGAATATTTATGATTCGTGTTTGGCTGTAGCTGTTGTCATGACTACCGTATGTTTAGCCAGCTCCCTTGTACCATAGTTGTACCCTTGGGGAAATCAGATGCAGTTTACTTGTACAATAAGTTATCAGATCCCCGAAGCAAGCTTTATAAGTTTGATTTTAGTTTATTGGACAATTTTTTGTTTGAGCAAGCAAGTAATTGCATGGCTGTTGAACTTATGGTCATATTCAATCATTTGCTTTTGGTTCTTTTGGTATCTTTTAACATACCTTACACCAACCTATGGCTGGATTCAAATTTGGGAGACGTGTCTTTGCTTCCCTATGCTATTTTAACGCCAGATTTAGATTAACTGTTTGTAACCTTAAATGCAAATGAAAACAGTTCTGCATCATGGTCTCGCCTGATCAAGAATCAGACCCAATCTAAACCAAAGGGAAAACGGAGGTCCATATTTGGATTGTAAAATCGATTCATGTGAACCTAATTGCCGAACACCCTCTGGATGCGATTAATATGCCACTCAACTCAACTCGTGAACATCATCTAAAGGCACAAAGCAAAAACTGAGGAAAAACATATAAACAGAATAGCATACAAAACTTCCGAGGATTGACAGCAGAACCAGACACCAAAAGGAAAACCAGTCTCGTCTCATTCAATCAGACCATTTCCCATTGCTCTGTCTGATGATCCCTTAACAATTCATCTCTCCATCCTTTAGTAACCTTTGTAATGAACTCTTCAGCTCTTTTTTCCAAATTGTAATCCAACACTTCTCCACCATCAACCTCATACAGCCTATGATACTTATCATCATCCACTACTGCCACTTCCTCTTCTTCTTCCTCACAATCTCCCTCATCTAGCCACCCAACCTCGCCATCGCTCCCATCATCATCGTCATCTTCGTCATAGCCATGTTCCAACACCTCATCATCTTCCTCCTTGCAACCATCTTTGCTTTCACTATCGCTATCATCCTCATCCTTACCATCACAAGACATATCATCCTCATCATCATTCCTAACAGCAGCATAACAGGAATAGTCGTCCCCTGCTCCTCGATACGACGACAACTGAAACGAGCTCCATATACCACCACCACCACCACCATCGACGTGCTCCTCATACGAGTTCCTGCTGCTGCAGCTCCCAACAGCAATGGCCAGAACCATGCTATTGAACAGGGAAAGCAGGAAGACAGGTGATGACAAGGTTGAAAGCAGAACAGCTGCCAGCAAACACAAGATCAAGATCACTGAAATGGGCTTCAGAAGAAGAAACTCCATGTGCATTCTGTTTAATACCAATATGGTAAAAGATCAAATGATATGATTATGATGCTGCTGGGTCCTTTGACAGATGCTTTCAAGGGTCGATTTATATACAATGGGATGATCAAATTAATTTAACTGAAGTGTATAGCATACATTCAGAGAAAGTGTGGGTGAAACTAAATGAAAATATGTGGCACGAAAATTATGTTGAGTGAGACAAGTAATGTAGGCTTCCAAGCATTGTGAGGTTAAGTGGTGAAAGTTTCAGGTGCAGTTGCCTTTGCTTTGCCCCTTTTATGGAGCTAATCATATATATATAAACGTGTTATGCCCATGGCAAGCCACTAGGAGAACATTTTTTTTTTTTTTTTGGGTTGTTGAGGTGGCAAGTTCACTGCTATAGAAGTTTCCCATTGGCTATTGTATGTTACTCAACAAATTCTGCCTATAAGGCTATAACCAAACCAAAGTCCAAAGTCTTGGTCTTGTTATTTTGTGTTAAACTAATATACTCTCTTTAAAGTAAGCTCACCAGTAGGGATGTATAGATATGGTGGTTTTGGCCATCTAAATTGATCGGTCGAGACAAGAATGAAATACTTATAAGGTGATCATTACCCACCCGGATAAATTAGGAGGGTTGGATTGGGTAGAATGAAAATAATTGAGTGAGTCACATTTTAAATTGATTGATTTCATACATGTGTATAAAAGTTTCTATTTTTATATTAGTTCAAATAAATATAATTTTTTTTTTAATTTATGAGTAATGAATACACAACTTTTTTATTAAAAGGAATGAATCAAGAAAAGAACAACCTACAACTTTAAAATTTCAAAAGACTAAGCACTGAAAATGATGAAAATTTTCACAATTTACAGCCGAGCATACATCTAAAGTCTAATGGTTGTTGGTATAGTTGTCCTATGTCAGATAATCTTCTGTTCCCCTCCAAAAGTTGATGGTCAATGGGAGTGATTAAAAGATAATGACACTCGTTTATTTTGTGGTACGAAAAATAAACAACTCTTTGTTATAGTATTATTTACGAAAGAAATGAAATGTAAATCAGTCGTATAATCAACGATCTACACAATAATATTATTATTATTAGAGATTTACGTGTATCCGTAACCCACTCATCACTAACCCACCCATAAATGTTTGCGTTTTTATGGTAAATCGACCTCAAACCACAGTTCAGCCACCACTAGCCTACCCCTCCTCGGCAATGCATGACATTGATAGAATCTTAATGCATTAATGCAGGGTATGGAATTGGGTTGGCATTTGGCATTGTTTTGGCCTATCATACAGCTGGTCAAGAACCAGATTGAACAGTTGAGCTAGAAGAGTTAGTGGCTCGAGTTTTTCTCGTTTAATTGCTAAAAAACTATTGCTAAATTGGTACAAAACTATTTGAAAGAAAACTAGCAGATTTCGTGTGAATGTAGAACTTTCACGACATTATAATTTGAGTTAATAGTAACACAGCCAGCTACACTTGTGGTTCATCGGAGAATCCCAACTTCCAAAAAGTCGGTGTAGAACAAGAAAGTCAAAGTTTAGGAGGGACATGTTTTCTCATCTTCAGTAAGACAATCAGAAGAAACAGTCTATAGATCCTCCATCAATGAGCAATCCATGGCGAAACAACAGGCAGTGCAGTATTAAACTCTGCAAATCATTCTCAAAGTTAACAACAGTAAGAGGAGTCACCCTGAAGATATAACTAAATAAATAGTACATCATCATCCTGTATTCTACAATGAGACCAGCAGCAGCAGCAGCCTCTCACTAATTAACCACCCCAACTAATCACTAACAACCCTCTTTTTTTCTCTCCATCTAAACAATAATAACTCAACCGAAAAATCGACATCCCAAGCAAGAATTAACTGTGTACACAGGCAAGAACACAACAAAGACGCGAATTTAACAGGGAAAAAAAGAGATAAACACAAGGTGAGAGATCATGTTGCTCCTACAAATGATTCCAACTCTCTTAGATGATTTTGTGGTCTGCTGAAGAAGCAGCAAAGACTCACCCTGCATGTACTGTCATGTTAATCTTGCCTTGTTCACTTCTCGAATCGGCTGGAATAGAAGACCACGTATCTCCTCGGAACGAGGTCGATGTGATTCCAGATTTAGGATCAGCGACTGAGATGGGAATGGCATTGGTTGTGGTTGTTGTTGTTGTTATGGTGAAGGAATCTGGTTTTGGTTTCTTTGGCTTCTGCTCGTGCTGATTCCCCGCCAGAAAACTGCCTACCACGACCTGATTTGACCAGCAAAGGATGTCCAAATGAATGGGGTTTCTTGCAAGACAAGCAAAAAAGAGTGAGAAACAAACAGTAAGGAATGTTCGAGAGCAGCAGACCTGAACTGGACCTGCAGCTACTAACAGACCAGCGACCCCGCCACCCAAAACTCGTCCATCTGGACTTGCCAACGAAACACTCATGCCGCCAGATCTGCTCCTTGTCCCTCCCGTTGTATCAGTAGGCATGAATGACCCAGATAAGGATAGTATTTCAAAGCGCCCCTGGAAGAAGATTTAAAGTTCATATAGCGAGTGTGTATATTAGCTTTCTTCAATTGTCATAACTACATCAGTAATTTAGGGAGAGAGAATCTCTTACCTCAAAAGTTAGTGTACCTCCAGAAGAATCAGGCTGACGAAGGGTGACACTGGAGATGACACCATTGGCAGAGAGTATACATATAGCACGAGGACCTTGTTGAGAGAAGGATATGATCTTCATCGTAACATCCTAAATAATGAACCATGAAGAAAATGAATTTGTTATCACAGAAGTCATAAACCCTAAGCTTGTCTTAATACGTACTATTCTTATATTGAATCTGGATTTACATGCTAAAGCTGCCATAAAAGGATAGGAAATGACCACAATAACGTAGCATTCAACCACGAACATCAACAAAACTTGCCAACTTCCAGAATTAGATATAGAGAGAAGTTCTCGAAGACAAGAATAATACCAGTAGAAACATTCAATCACAATTTCCCAGAAAAAAGGGGGTCAAAACTCCAGACCAGTAGGACAGTAGCCGTATATATGTTCTTGTTCTACATGTAGAACCAGTTTACAAGAAGAAGTATGGAAACACAAGTCGTGTTTTCGACAGCATACCTCGCCCGCATTTACAGTGATGATATGAGGAGTGAAATTAGCGCCAGCAGAGCATGCGACCCAATCGTTGTTCACAGCAGGTGCATATTCTGGTCAAAATTATCAACACCATCATCAAAACTTCCAACCTTTTCAACATGAAAGGCATATCCAACTAAAGAAAGGCGTTACAATAGGCACAGAACACAAAAATTCTTCATTTTTTATCCCAAGAAGACATTCAGAAAACTACCAAGACACATTAGAGACCACTGCTACTTATCTCCACGTCCCCACTTCAGCTATAGGAAGACAAACAAACAAAAAAAAGAAGCGGCGACAAGAAAGTAGAAATTATAAGTTGACCACATAAGCCCAATATAGCCCAGTCAACACCCAAGTTCTCTGTTCTCCCCTTCCTAACCACTTGAGCGGAAAAGAAGCATCAGTCACAGAATCACAAAAGACTTGCCAAAGAATAAACGAGACTCAAAACCAGCAACAGAAACATTCAGATAGCAAGGGAAGAAAAATACAGAGCATAAAACATAAGGAACAAAACACCAGTACGCTAAAAAGAAGAGTTCAGTTGTGTGTTCTTAAACCGCTTTCTTTTCCAATTCGTCAACCCGGTCAACTTCTGCAGAATTGACAGAAGAAGCCCAGCTTTTCGTCCATAAAAGGGAATTCAGGGAAGCTCCAAAATGTCCAAAATTACATATTACCCAGCTCAGCTCTCAATTTCATCGCAATTGGAGATTCTTTGTCTCGTTTCATTCTCTGACCTACCATTTGTATCTCAACACTTTTTCCAATCTCGATCCAAAAGTAACAACAAGCGAAATCAAAAGATCTCGACTTGATGCATAAAACAGAAAAAACCCCAT